TGCAACGCAAGCTATCTTTCATTTGTGATATACACCTTACGATTTCTTGTTCTGTAATTGGTAAATTTAGTCTTTCAGGCTCATTCGAAATGCAAAGTCTACACTGCTCATCGTGTTCACATAGGAAATCGTTGGCAGTATCGGACACATTCTCTTCGCTTGAAGTCCGTAGATTCCTACAGTACTGATGCCATTCATCTGGATGAATTCCAACATTCTTACAATTGACACGTAGCAAGTATTTCACGCTGTCCCAAAATGAAGCAGGGGAATTTAACTGTGAGGAAAGATTGGATTTTAAATTGTCAGAATATTTATTTTTAGCATCATCACATATACCCTAGAATTGATTTTTGGCTGCTTTATAAGTTCCTCGCTACCCCTACATCGCCTATATTGGTTTAGAAGTTTATGCTTTTTAATTTTAGCTTCTTCAGACTCAAATGACTACCATGATGGTTGAGGTAGTTTTCTACGGGTTGAAAGGGTCATTTTTGCAGTTGAATTTTGGACTGCACTTATCACCTTGTTGCATAGCAGATTAACGTCGTCCCCAAGGAAAGAGATATCTGTTAATTCATTTTCCAATGAACGGAGGAAAGTATCTTTATGTTCATCATTCCATTTTATTTTGAATCGCTGAGTTAACTCAACCATTTCTCCAGTTGGTGCCTCGTTTAATGGGTTTTCAATTTTGATAACACACGGGAAGTGATCTGAGTCGTCTATAGTCAATACACAAAAATCGATAATGAAAGGGAATAGTTCAGACGATGCCACAAAATAGTCCACGGTACTTGATCCGTTGTTGGCGTGTCCAGTAAAACACCCATTTAGATCGCCAGGGAATCGTCCATTCACTATGTGCATACTGAATTTTTTGCAGAGAGTTATTAGTTGTCGACCGAAGTTGTTGACTCTGAAATCAGCATTGATGTGTGGTAGATCAAATGTGTCAGTAGGATAGATGTTTTCCGAAGATATATGATCGAGACTGTCATTTACAATGAAGTCTTTGTTGGATCCAGTTCTGGAATTAAGATCTCCTGCCAAGAGGGTGTCTGCATTAGGGAAGTCACATTTGATCCGTACAAGAATATCTTCTAATTGATCAAGAGTTGAGGAGTTTTGGGTTTTGTAGTAGTTCGAACCTTCGGGCGAAATATAAGTGAAAATACGACACAAGTCTTTTGGAAAACCAAAAAAAAGACTTGTCTAGTAGAAGTATCACAGCATCCTCGGTCAAATTCAAGACTCGCCGTGTACCTTGTATAAGACTTCGTTTGATAAATACACTATTTCCTCCATGTTGGGATTTCTTGCGGCATGATACCAATTGTTCGTGGTCACTTAAGAATAACTAAGTTGGGGCTTTATACAACCATGTCTCACTAATACCCACGATATCGTATATAGATAGTTCAGTTCCCAGATTTTCAAAATGTCTGCCCAAACTTTGGCAGTTCCATGAGATAATTTTGATACTGTGTTCAGATTTGTCTTTAATGTTAGGAATATTTTTATTGTTATTAGGGGGTTGATGTTCTCTGGATTGCTATTTGTCATTGTTACAAAGTTTTAACTCCTTTGTTGTTTTGTCAATGATATAAGATTTACTTTCTATTATAAGTCTATCAAATTTTAGAGTGGCTTTCTTATTTTCTTTGATTGCCTTGATCAGGTGTGGTGTAAGTTCTTTACGTTTGTTTTTAACAGATTTTGTGAAATCTTCTGAGACTTTTAACTCAGATGACCCTCTGAACTTTCGCTTCGCTTCATGTAATATATTATCTCTGTCCTTAAGCCTATTGAAAACAACTAAAATAGGTCTAGTGTGATTACCGTTTTTCTTTCCGATTCGATAAATTCTGTCTTGCAACATTGAATCACTACTCACCTCTCGTATTAACTTCACGATCTGAAGATCTCTCGGTTGTTGTTTCTTTCAATCCGTAAAATATTAAATTCTTTTGTCTATCTTTGTTTTGAATAAATTCTAAGGTTTCGCGAATTTCACTATTTTCTTCAGTTAATGTAGTAACATCTTGTTATAGTTTGGAAACTTCTTCTTTTATATTAAGATCCCTAACTTCTGCTCTTATCTCGCAAATTTCTTGTTTCAGGGATTGGATACAGGACACTAAATCTGTCAACTCATTCCGTTTTGGATACACAATTTGGCCACTATTTGTCAATTGTCCTTGTCTTGTATTTGGGCCCGGGTTAGATTCCACATCACCACTTAGCAGTAGCATTACATTTACTATTAACATCACAGTCAGTGTCAGATTTCCGAGTGATATTTTATGAGATTTAAATTTTTACCTGCTATTTTATGAAAGTATTGTCCTATGATCATCCTCCAGGTTCACAAATCAGTTCCCATACCGAATAAATCCTTTACAAATATTGTAAAAAACGTTTGGTTGAAGACAAAATGTTCTGATGATAAATACAATCCAAATATCGTCACACTTGATTTCACTCTACTGCTACTTAGAACACGACCTATCTCCTCAATAATCTATTCAGCTTGTATGGAGATATTGATCTGCATTGCTAAGTTGCTGCACCTTAGATGTATTTGATGAGGGCAAGTAAAACCATTCTCACATAATAAAAACTTTCAGTTTTCTTCCTGCTCTCCAGGTCCACATAGAACCATTGTTTTACAGTTTGTATCTAGCAAGCTATTGTCTTTCAATTAACTGTTAATTGGTATTTTACATGTTGATCATTGTAGTATGCTTATCTATCATTTTTTGTTAAAGCTTAAAGTAGATGTTAATAATAATAATAATAATAGTTAGTTTATTAAATGTGTGTCACAAATCATTAAAATATAAATATATACAGAATAATTTAAAACATTGAGATTTCCAGCCAAAGGAGGCTTACGAGACACGGTGCAATTATAACAATTTTAACAAAAGCAGATAAAAACTAAAATGTAATTGTTAACTAGAATTGTTCAGTTTTCTGGGACCTAATATACAGGTGATAACAGTGAAAATAAAAGTAAAATTCGACAGTATAAAACATTACATGTAACAAATGAACAAAAACACTAATCATGTAACACAGAATAAAACAAATATTAGATTAAAAGGGTATAAGTTATTAAAAGACATATCACTCATAAAAATAGATAACAAAAACATCTAAAAAAAAAATTATGCTGCTAACAGGTCTTTTCGTTTTGAATACATGTCATTATAAAATAAAATTTATTTAACAAAGGAAGTCGGTTAAAATCGGGGTTAATACTTAAACACTTATCAAACAGTGCAATTCTAAAATCATTATAAACTGGGCAAACTATAACTGAATGAAATTCATCCTCAATGACATCTTCATTACAACATTTGCATGTTCGATCTTCAAGCGGTATTTTCGGTTTAGCGTAACGACCAGTTTCGATCGCCAAAGGGAGACAACCACTTCTCAATTGACATATTAACCTTCTGGTTGCCCTGGAGATACTTTCATTTGAAACATAGGATTCTAACATACGGTTTGATTTATACTGGCGATAGCTTCGAAGTTTATTGCCATTAGGATTGCATTTATCATTAAATAATTCTTTAATCCATTCATCTGAATCTACCTTAATTAATTTACATTTCGTTATATTTACAATTTTTTGATGGACATCGATAGGTTAAAAACAGTTTCTCTTAATTCTAAAACATTTACAATATTTAAAACAGAATTATACCATGAAAATTTATTTTTTTTAGTCGACATATACCTAAGTAGAGAAAAGATGTGTCTTTGTGGGTCATTTCGATACAGCTTGCAAAGTAGTCTAATACATTCTGTTTTTTGCTTGGCGGCACACGAAATCCAGCCCATGTCTCCTCTACATGCAATATTTGGGGTACCTTTGCTCACACCTAGAAAAAACTTCATTGCTTTGTTTTGAACAGTATTAATACATGAAAAAGCTTTATAACCCCATATCCCTACACAATAAAAAAGAACGGACTCAACAAGGTTATTATATAAATTTGTAAAAAGTTTGTAAGACATTCCTCCGTATAACTTATATTTTGTGCATAATGTGCCCAAAGCTCGACTAGCGGACTTAGCAAGTTCTGAAGTTGCTTTCTTCATATTAAGGTGCTCATCAATCCATAGACCTAAATATCTGTAAGAATCAACATAACTAATATTTAAACCACCACAGCTAAACTCATGTAGTGATAGGGGAACTGAGGGGGTTCTATAATGTACTATTTTAGATTTGCAAGGGTTAATTGGCAATTTCCATTTTTGGCACCAGGAATCGAGTACGCTTAACATTTTGTCCAGGCTGGCTTCATCTGGGGCTAGTAAGGCTACGTCGTCAGCATATGCCAGGACCGAAATCTGCAGATTGTCTTCGATATTAATGCCACATTTCAAATTGTCTTCTAAAAGGTCGTTGATAAATATAGAAAACAGTGTTGGAGATAATAGACATCCTTGTTTTACGCCAACATTTACTGGAAACCAATCAGATTGATCATCGTTTACTTGAATAGCACTTACAGTATTATGATAAAGTGATTTAATAGCAGTTAAAATTTTACCACACAACCCTATTTTTTCTAATTTTCTCCAAAGAAGGGGTCGTTTTATAGAGTCAAAACATTTTTTGAAGTCAACATAGCATATAAAGGTAGACTTTCGAGTGGTTTTCCTATCATTTATAATGTTATATAGCGAAAATATATGGTCTGAACAACTCCGATTTTTTCGAAAACCGTTTTGAAAGTCAGACAGAGAGTTATTCTGACCAAGCCATTTATTTACTCTGCTATTCAAGATATGACAGTATATTTTACTTGGTACGGAAATAAGGGAAATACCTTTATAATTAGACGGAACAAGTTTATCATCGCTTCCGGGTTTGAATATCGGGTGTATTAGGCTTTTAGTCCACTCAGCTGGAACGGTTTCCAGCGCAAAGCATGAGTCACAGATTTTGTGAATTAGTTTCACAACAGATTCGTTTTTTAAAACGAGGGTTTATTTTTCAGGTCTTTCACAGCCCGTGAAACTTCATCTGTTGTGATTGGATTATTCAATTCGGGGATGCTATCCGTAGATTCGCCATCTGAGGGCTCTGGGTTTGGGTCTGTATTGTTCGAATATAGTGCTTCGAATTCACGTCTCCAAACATCTAGTACCTGTGCCCTGTCCTGTATAATAACACCGTCAGCATTTTTTACAGAGTTTGGTAGGCCTATGACTCGGTCGTTTGCGATGCCGATTTTTCCTAGCTTTTTCCAAAATTCGTTTTTATCATTGGCGAAGCTGGATTCAATGGAACGCTTTTTTTCAACTTGATACAGGCGTTTACTTTTCCGCAAATCCATGTCAAAACGTTTCCTATTCTGAACATAGGTAGCTTTTAGTTCTCGTTTGGCACAATGTGAGTTCTCTCTTAGCCACTTTTTCTCGCATTGTTGCACATTATCCCATTGCTTTTGGAGAGCTTCATTCCAGTAGGGTTTGTACTTCGATTTTTGCAATGTTCGTCGTACTTTTGGGACTTTTTTACTGTGAATCCGAGCTTTCATTTCACATGCTACTAGTGTAAGAAAGTCATTATATGCACTTTGTATATCACCTTCTAAATTCATTTTACGTTCTATAGAAGTTATTGTTTCTTTAACTACTTCCAAAATTTCAGAATTTGTTAAAAAGTCATTAGGAATTGTTGTTAAGTCAAACTTGCTTACAGTTTCTGATTTGTTTTGTGGCTGTACACTTGTCACGTCACTACCTGTTTCTGTTTCCCAGATTAAAATAGAATGGTCTGGAGTAGAATCTGGGTAACACCCAATAGTACTTTTTAGCTCAGACATGCTAAGGACGGTAAAGGATTTGATGGTATCTATGTTTTCGCAGGGTACACACACATAATCAACAACAGATTTACCGAGCGTGGAGATACAGGTAAAGTTTTGTGTTCCCACCCGTCCATTTAGAATTCCAAAACTAGACACAGTTAAAAAATCTATAAAAAGCTCACCAAATTTGTTGTTTGTGTCATCAATGGTATCACGCGGGACTAAATAGTCAACTCCATCAATTGTGTCAGAAATGTCACCACATCTTGAGTTAAAATCACCAAATAGTTGAATATCTCCAATATTTTGAAAGCTGTAAATCTGATCTAACAAAGTTTCAAAGAAGGTATTCGGATCTGTGCGCCGTGTTGTACCATCTGGTGGAAGGTAGCATATAGCGAGACACAATGATAAGTTTGAGTTAATTCCTGTCACGTGTATCCACAAGATGTCTTCAAAACTACTATCTAAAATATTCACTTTTAAGATACTACCTATGAGTTCTTTTTTAACAAGGAAACCAACCCCTCCACTACCCCTTTTTGCTTTTTTGTTTACTGTTTTGCGGTTATGGCCGTACCATTTGTAGCCGCTTACATCTAAAATGTTATCTCCTACTAAAAATGTTTCACAAAGTCCTAGAATGTCACAATCTGTGTAATTAATCACATTTCTCCGGAAGTTGTCATATGTGCTTTTATTTGTTGGAAATCCTCGACTGTTCCAGGTCCCCAAACAAAAACACCTTCATGCAGTTTCATTAAAAATTCTACCATTCTTAAAAACAAACTTTTTATCGGTTCCAAGATGCTTAATAACTGTTCTTAAATTGTGCTCTTCTTTCAGTTCCTCTGGTGATTTCATACTTTCGATGTAAACACGACTATACTTGGGTAAATGTTTCAGTGATCTCTTTTTACTTAACCGTTTATGTTTTTGATCGGAGTTATCAAGAGTTACTACCTCTAACCTTGGCCTTGTTTTTGATGAAGTCACATGATTGTTTATATTTAGTTTCGGTTGAATTCGTTCGACATTGTTCACCTTAATGTCTAATTTAAGTCCGTCTGTAACAAGGTCCTGAACACTTTTCAGTAAATACCCTGGTTGTGTTTCTTGAGCACTTTCGTCAAAGTTTTTCACGATTACTTTTAACTGTCTATTATTGTGTGTTGGGTTTGAGAGATCTGATTCCTGCTCACTAATTATCTTAAATTTATTGTCTATGTCGTATCGAATTTTGCCTATTTCTTCATGCATTTTTTCTTCTATATTAGCTTTAATTCTTTGGTCCAAATTTTCCATTTCTATATTAAGTCTCTTATCTAGTATGTTTGTTACCTTTTCTTCTATCTTCTTTTCTAGATTGTCCATATGACTGGCTATTTGAGTATTAATCTGCTCACCTAAGCAAGACATCATTTTCAACATTTCATCGAATCTATCATTAAAGTTATCTTTTGGCTCACCTTTCGATTTCTTACATGTAGGTTCTTCACATTCCAATACCTCTGCACTATTTTCTGCGGGTCTTTTCCAACTATGGAGTCTTTTTCTGCCATTTGATTTCGTTGTTCCTTGAATTTGGGTCGATGTAGAGAACATATTTCCGACAGCCATTACCTCCGTTACGAAGTTTTCTGACATGCTACTATCCATTGGGTTCACAATATTATCCATTATTGGCGAATATAAATAAAAACAATTGTGTATAGTCTTTTGATAAAACCTAAATGTTCATAAGGAATCCAATAAAATCACTATATTAAAATCAGTCTAAAATGTTCATTAGTATCCAACACAATTAAAACATAGTTTGAAAATGGCGCGTGTAAAACTTCTATAAACAAAGAGAAATCACCGCCACGGTTGATTAGACTTCAGAGCTCCGTAAACACAACCTCTCACCTCTCGACCTCTCAATAAAAATTCATATACCCCGCTCTACTTTGTTTTGAAAAATTTATTATACCAATAACTAAAGTGTGGTCGATAGTTAGAAGCATTTAATGTTTCAATTAAAAGGGAAGCCAGAAAATAACTGATTTGCATTTAAGTCCATTTTCACGTCAGTGTGCGTTTGAACCTGTTTCGAATGGAAAATGGAATTCCGAATCACTTTTCCTCCGCTATTCTCGATTTATTGATTGATAGTGATTGACACAAGAAAGTATACCCGGGGGTTACTGTATCGGCTTTTATGACATCATAATGCCACAGTTGAGTGACGTTTTGGCAATGGCATTTTAGAGATGAATTTTGGCTGTAAAGTTGGTTTTGATCACGTTTTCTGTATTTTACCGATGTCTAGACTAGAAAATTACATGTACGATACATGAAATCAAGTAAGTGTGTTTGGTTTATTCTTGCCATCATCGCTGCATTGTATGTTTTGTTTGAAAAGCTTTCTCTTTCTTAGATTTAGGGGGTTCTGAAAATAACCGTTTTTCTTAAATTATTGATCACGGTGTTTTCTACTCCATGGACTTTTCGGAACTGCTGCTAACGTCTTCGCAATCGGTGACAACCGTCGACCTGATCTTGTGGTGAAGGTAAAGAACTTTGTCAGTAGAATGAATCCAGTAGTTTTAAGCAAGGTAAATTGTATTAACGTATACTTTGACAAATACAAAATGGCAGATTTCAGTTATTACCAAATATCACAGTTTTTTATCGGCCAAATTTCCTTATAATCCCTAGCGGTAATCTGAATTCCAGGTGTCGTCTGCCAGAATGTAGTCCAACGAATGAAGTCACGTGATAAACCAGCGGAGTCCGTGTCATCAGAAAAATTCTATGATACACAATTTGGGCCATATTCTTACGTTGTTTCAATGACTTTTAGCAATAAATCCCTTTACGTTTTACTTATCTTATTTTATCAGTCAAAAATTTTCTTTTTTTTAAAATCATTGATCTTTGAAGGAATTGTCATTAGTTATAATGAATTGATATTAAAGATAAATACTAAGAGAAGTTAATTATACCACTAGGTATCCATACAACTTATTTATAGATCAAACATTATAGATCAAACATTGTACACGAAAATAGGTGACGCATTTTGCTGTCGAGTTGGTTACTCATGAATATGGGTCAAAGTGAGGGATTCATATAGAAAATCGAAACAACCAATTTTAATTATTTTCTAGAATATCTAAGACATAAAAAAAAAATTCCGTTCTTTATTTCTTAAGTATAGTTTTAGGGTTTTTTTTTCTTCCCTAGTTTATCCACGGTAGCTTTAAGTTGTTTACCAGCAGTGTGAGCACTTTTCTTTATTTTTACACAGTTTAAATTCTAACCACTCTCCTATAAGACTTTCTCTCTCTTTCTTTCTTCACTTCTGTCATTTCACTTAATATTGGGTGTCTGTAATCTTTGTTGGTAAGTTTTCTTCTTTTATTTTACTTTACTTTACAGACTGGACAAATCTATTTTAATCAATGCAATCCTCCTTTAGCAATGTAACTTTGTAATAATTTATTTTCATAAAGTTTAAAGTTGTTTTCATTAGTTACGACAGCCATCTTTGTTTTCTTTTAGTAATCTTAGGTTACATGGTTATTTAATCTACACCTAATTTTGTACAAGTTTAAAATAACTCCTATATCATAGGGTAAGATTGTTTATGTATTTCTTCAATTATATTTCTAAATAATATGCATTATAAATGGCAGATTTGTATTTACATTATTTATTTGTGTTGTATATATATCAAATGATATATTTATTTTGCTTTCATTATTTGTATTTATAACAATTATTGATGTATTTTCAGAGTTATTTGTTTAGATTATTTATAAAATATATCGAACCTCGACCTGGAGTTTCATTGGTGTTCCACTTTTAAAAACTGTTACATATCCAGATCATTATATCTGTTAATATTAGAATGTAATAGTTATAGGTGCGTATCTATACCAGGAAGTAATGACCTAATTCAATAAAATTAACATTAATGTATTACATTTTTTTTTTATCTCGAAGCATCATTATTCAAAGTAATATCCGGTTTAGCACGTGTAGAATACCTTTTGAAGCTAGATCCGGGTTTACTTTACTTCTTCAAGTGGGATTACCTCACAAATTAAATGGAGTTTTACGTTATACTTTTTGGACTCTAGGGCTGTGATTGTCCAATTAAAATGTAGATAGATGTGAGAACAAATCAAATACCTTACATTATACAGATATCCAGTTTTTATCTAATCTAAATCTTACACCCATATAGGCATTTCTCCTGTCTAAATGTAAACTCTGATAATAGTTTGTCTATTATAAAATCCGTAGACTGAAATTTATAAGGTTAATGCGCCTCCATTTGAGATTTATTTTTGTCTCTAAAGATAGAATTTAGAAGTAACATGTTTCTCTCCACTCTCTATATATGTGATATGAGTTTCGCTTAGTTATTGACTACTATAATTATATGCATTCAACTCGTCTGACTGTACCACACCCATCATATTAAATCATATAGTCCGAAACGGCTACTGATACTTTTGACAGTGTGACGTCCCCAGTCCTCACCAATAGCCTAATTCCGAGTACTACGGTTTGTAAGCCCTAGGTCTCAAAGTATTTATGATAAAACACGATGAAAGTTAAGGGATGTAAGGATTCGCTAGCTCTATCCGCCATTAGCCTACTGAAAACATTGCTCAAAATAGGTCTATAAGAATCAATTTTCTTCTGAAATTTCTATATAGTTGAATCTTAATATTTTATAAGAATGTTGAGAATCAAGTCTACCGTGATCTAGGATATATATACATTAACTTTTCAAGAAAATGTTGTATGGACTACATTATTGCTACAGTATAAAACTGCTTGTCATTGTTTGCATGATGTAATGTGAATCGGTTCCTAGATTAGATCAGCTCTTCCAAGAAATGGTTTTTCCGGGAATATTTAACGATTTCTAGGAAAAACGTTATAGGCGGATAATATTGAAGATGGCTATCCGTCTCCATATTTAAATTTAAATTTAAAACCAGTTAGAATTTGTCAAATACCGGTAACAATGTTCTATAAATAAATTATTTGTTAAACCTCTATTTGCATTACATAAATTCTCGTTATTCAATATACATCTGTCTTACTCGGTTGTCCAGAGAAAATTCGAGTTGTAGTCTAAAATATTGATACAGTAAAAAAAAAATAAAAGGGGGAAAAGCTTTCAACAAAAGGGGGAAAGATGTTTTCTGATGTTTCTGCAATGAAACTTGTTAAATTGATTGGATATAATTAAAAAGTGTTAAGAAACTTTGAGTATAAAAACTTAGCCTATCTGTTCAAGACAGGTTTGGGGAGCCGCGGTGGCTCAATGAGTTAGACGCTTGCTCGCTAAGGTCCAGGGTTCAATCCCGGCATAGGTCGAGATAATACCTTCGGATTTTTCAACCCGGTCTCCCCTGTCAGTGATGCAGGTAAGAGGGGCTGACATGGAAAAAGCGTCTAGTCGTTCGGATGGAACAATAAACCAGTGGTCCGTGGGTGGAGCCAAAACATTCTGTATGGTGAGTGGTATGCCGTTGGTTTCCAGGTGCTCTGTTAGTGGCTTACGAGCAGGTTTCAGCTCAGTGCATTGAATGAGGACATGTGACCTTGTGGCAACGTGGCCGCAGCGACATTTCATTTAATGGCGTTGAACTGATGGTCTCGTAGTACGTTGTTGGTCCGTAGTCTGGTTGCCACTTTGCAGATGGCTACAGATGGATGGTTCGGTTTGGTTTGGTTTGGTATCTTCGGATCAATCTGGTATCTTGCGGTGTCGAGGTTCCGTAACATGTCGGCCCATTTCTGGTTGATCCTAGAAGATACAGTGGTGTAACCTATTTTCGTGGATATAAGGATTCAACACCGAATTTCGTCAAAGTTATAAAAACGAAAAAACAAAATTTATGCCTTAGATGTTTCCTCAGATATTCTACAAAATAATTAAAATTGCATTATTTCGATTTTCTTTATTAATCCTTCACTTTGACCCATATTTCATGAGCAACCAACTCTGCAACGGCGGCAGAATGCGTCACCTATTTTCGTGTACAATGTTTGATCTATAAATAAGTCTAGAAAAACACGTTGTATGGATACAGGGTGGTATAATTAACTTCTCTTAGTATTTATCTCTAATATCAATTCATTATAACTAGTGGCAATTCCTTCAAACAACCACGATTTAAAAAAAAAATAGTGACTGACAAAATATGATACGTAGCGTGATTTATTGCTAAAAATCACTGAAACAACATAAGAATATGGTTCCATAGAAATTTTCTGCTGACACGGAATCCGCTAGTTGATCACGTGACTTCATTCGTTGGATTATATTCTAGCAGACGACACTTGGAATTCCGATTACCGCTTGGGATTATAAGGAAATTCGGCCGATAAAAAATGGTGACGTTTGGTAATAAGTGAAATCCGCCATTTTGTATTTGTCAAAGTATACATTAATACATTTTACCTTGCTTGAAACTACTGGATTCATTCTACTAGCTAATATTGTAGAGAAAACCCATGTTTATCAAAACAAACTAATGCGGAGGTCGCGCAAGGTCGCTCATGTAAATTATTAATCCTTTCCGGAAATCCACGAATAATAGGTTTCCACGAAATTAGGTTACTCGAATGTACGATACTGCAGAATTCCGAATAGGAGTATTCTACAGGCTCCATATCCTCCAGACTCAGACTTTCCTTGGCACAGCGGTCTGCTTGATCATTGCCAGGAATGGAGACGTGCGATGGTATCCATACTAATTCAATCTTGTGGTCGTTGTTGGTTTGGTAGTTGTGGATCATTCTTCTTATTCCGGCAATAACTTCTGACCTGCAATTAGAAGAGGTGAGAAAAATAGATTGGAGGCTGCTTAGCGAGTCGGATAGAATTGGATTGGATTGTACGCTAGTTAAGCCCTTATAGGTGTAGGAGACGGAGGCAGCGACCGAAAAAAAAACCGTAAGAGACAGGTAATGTCTCGCACCTTTGGTAATCTCAGTCCTGCTTCGCCCAACATCTCAACCCTCCTAATTTTTGGGCATAATATTGAAGAATCCCAGTCAAGGCATATTTCACCAGTAAAGGACTATAATTTTTCAAACATTCGTGTGAATATGTTTTCTTAGGCTGTTTTATAATTTTTTGAAAAAACCACCACAATTTTAATGTAAGGAGAAACTCCAACTTTAAATATTAAGACTGGTTGATGTCGACTACCATGATGATGGTTTAAATTTCCAGGACATTATCGCGTGCTCAATTTCTACAGTGACATTTCGATCTTTGCATCTGTAACGTGCACTTAACAATAATTTTAACATGCCAAAATTAGGATATTGGAAGATTAGAGGTGTAAGTATGATTAAATATATGTAGTAAATCGTTTATTTTCGATGTTGATGACATTGTCATTAGGCTATACAAGACAGTGTGACATACGACAAAATTCAAAGATGCGGTACATTATTAGAGGCCTACTTATCGAATACATGTCGATATCGTCATCAGCAATCTGTAGCAAGGACTATTGATGTGTTACTACGTTGAAGTCTTGTCTGAAAAGATGATTTTAAATTCAATATCTTGAATCATTTTATTATACAAGTTCTATTTATAGAAATCCTACAGTTTTATATAACTAACAAACTAGTCCGAAACATCTGCCTCTATTCCAGCCTCTTATAGTTATTTTGACAATCGTCTGAAGTCAGAAAAAATTGCCACTGTTTTATGTGGATTTTTCGCACCTCTGAAGATGCATTTATATTAAACTACTTTTACAATGACTAAATTGGTATGGGGCATCACTGTAACTTTCGTTTTGTTAGTATCACTTGATTATATTACCTTAGAACGTGACTGTGCATACAATTTTAAATGGCAAACTCAAGATCAGTTTTACTAAAAAATGCTTTGATTGAACCGCAGGCATGACATTAATGGTGTAGAGAGAATTAATGATGTTATGACTGAACTACAAAAATATATGCTTATTGTTTGATTAATTGACGTTTCTAATGAATAAATCAAGTACTCTATAGTGTAAGGATTGTGTGAGGACGTAAAAAAGTTTGTGGATCAAATTGACTGAAACCTGATTGAAAATGGTAAAAATAAATTCCTTGTTTACTCACTAACTAAAATAGATTGTGATAATGTTGCAATATTTTGTATAAAAAATTATTAGCTAGACCATGTTCAAAAGACATATTTGTAGGCTTAAGTTAGAAATAAGGTAATTAAATACACTATGTATTTAGAAATGGTCTTTTTCCCTGTTTTCGGAAACATAACCAATGAAATTTTAAATTTGTCGGTTGGTAGGCTATTTTGCAGTATTGGTAATGTTCGGCTGTGGAAAGGCCCACATAGAGTTAGCTCCTTTATGGAAATTGTGAGACATCTCCTGCCTTCAAACCTTATTAAATTATTCTATTTCACTCATTTTCGGTCCCACATTGATTACTACTCCACCATTTGGGATACTTGTAATAATTATTCTTTAGCAGCCCTTAATAGACTTCAAAAATTGGCTTTTATGCTTAATATGAATAAGGCAATGCCTTGAAATAGAGCGTTAGCTTTTCATCCAGACACATTGACTTACCTAATAGTTAAAATGATCTTAAATCCAGGTTTTCTAGGTGTAGGATGGCTCACTACTACTATGGTCTTATCTTCTAACATTATTACTAGAAAGCAATATTCCCAGTACTCACAATAGTCTTAAAAATGTAGTGGGGATAGGCATGGTTGTTTCTAGGTAATGAATAATTGTGGTCACCAGTTACTGAAATTTTAGTGTTCAATATCGACCAGTAATTATCACCCTGATCTACTTCCATATTAGTCCTCTTAATCCAGTAATTATGATCCTGATCCACTTCCATTTTAGTGCTTGTCGTCTGCTAGTAGTACGCTAACACACCAGACGTACTTTCAGATTAGCCTATTTTAGAGGGGGGTGTACAGATATGGTCAAGGTTTGTTTATCGCGTTAAAGGCACAATCGATAGTTAACATCATACTATGCATGTGGACACATTTCCTGATATGCTTTGTCATATAGCATATGTTTGTTTCTCATAGTTTCTTAGTATTTTCAAAAATTTCATAGTAATGACATAGAATTAACGTAGTTCTCCTCCATCCTCTATTGAACTCGTCCCTTTTGAAGTCACCCTATTTCTATTGGCTGAGAAATAAATTTTCCCACTGTATTTGACCAATGGAGTGAATGAATGTGTGACGTAACTCATGCGAGAGCCGTGATGGCAAACTGAACAGTTCATATTTTGGTGTTGATATATAGTTTCTGACCATTAACAAAATTTAAAAAGTCAACGAAGATAGAATGATTTTAATAAAGATAAATACAATCACAGACAATGTCATTGACACATTTTTATACGCCCACTATAGAGACTACAGTTTTTATCTGATTTTGATAAAACTTGGTGTGATGCTTTAGATTGATAAGATCTCGGTCAAGTTCGAATTTGACATATTTTCGATGAACGGTTGTTGAGATGTTGCCCTTGACTTGGAACGCCTTGAAATTTGTTAAAAATTGTTCGTGAGCAGGATTGAAGCTACAGTTTTCATCCGATTCTGATGAAACTTGGTGTGATCTTTGGAATTCATAAGATCTTGGACAAGTTCTAACTTGACGCATTTTCGATGAAAGGTTATTGAGTTATTGCCCTTGACTTTGTTAAAACGCTTCGAAATTTGTTAAAAATAGTTTGTGAGCAGGATTGAAGCTACAGTTTATCAACCGATTCTGATAAAACTTGGTGTGATCATTGGAATTGATAAGATCTTGGACAAGTTCTAACTTGACGCATTTTCGATGAACGGTTTTTGAGTTATTGCCCTTGAATTTGTTAAAACGCGTCGAAATTTGTTAAAAATAGTTCGTGAGCAGGATTGACGCTACAGTTTTCAACCGATTCTGATGAAACTTGGTGTGATCATTGATAAGATCTCAGATAAGTTCTAATTTGACGCATTTTCAATTAACGGTTTTTGAGTTATTGCCCTTGACTTTGTAAAAACGCGTCAAAATTTGTTAAAAATAGTTTGATAGAGACTACATTGTTTATACGATCTTGATGAAACTTGGTATGAGTTCTCAGTAAAGCTTGAAATTATTAAAAATCGGATGATAGGTTTCACATATTAAACCACCACAGACTTTGTTATCATTTCTGACAGCTGGTAGTGGGCGTATGTTACCTTGCCTGGCAAGCTATCTTTAATGTAGTATTTCCAAGGTTTCTCAATTAAATTTTTTGGATTTTTTATCGATTATTGATCGATAGTCTGCCATCGATAGTTGATCTTAATTTTGTAATCGATATCCAGCCCTATGCGCAATAAAGGCAATGGCCTCATCAACACAAATAGAAATCAATGTGTATTAACAGTGACAATGAGGATGTTTTGTCACTTATTTTTTCCAGAATATGAAGAAAATGGCTAAATTCAGAGTTTTAAAACTTCTTTTATTTGAGTTTCTTTGTTTCTTAAACTCGACCCCAAGTTTTTAAACATATATTTCTTTTTTTATTTTCGAATTTTCTTTAAACAGGCTTTGCATTTGAAGCTTGAATTGAGATGATATTACAAAATAACAGAACTTCAAAATGTTCTCCTTCTTTTCAAGCGGTTTTATTGATACTTGGATTTAAAAAATGATTAAATGAATGATTTGTTAGTGGGTTTCTAGTGTCTCAAAACACATATTTAAACCAATTTTTTGTGTTTTTGGGAAGCCCCATTTTAAGTTTATTTGATAACCAAAAAATGGTGGCCATTTTGGCTGCCATCTTGGATTTTTTGAAAACACTCTGGGGATTTATAGGGACTTTAGGTATGTTCTTCGGCTTCCAGACATATTCTTGGACCTATCCTGAAGCTTGTTATGAGATATATTCATGTATTTTCGAACCCAAATGTCAACATTTCGTTTTAGTGGCAGACATTTTGAAAATAGCTAAAATCTGATTTTAATGAAACTTGGTGTGATCATTTCTATTTATGAGATTGTACATAGACAAGTTAGAAAGTTCCTATTTTTCGATGAACTGCTTTTGAGCTGCCCTTAACTTATGAAAAATGTGTCAAACTTTGCCTGTGTACACAATAGAGACATCAGTTTTTTATCTGATTTTTATACGCCCACATGAAATGGGTCTTTAAATTATAAAACCTCTGTCAAAATGAGCCATTTATTCCTTCAACGTTTCATGTGTCTAAAAACAAAACCAACACAAATTAAAGGGTAAATCATTTACCTTTTTTAATTGTGTTGGTTTTGGACTCCCTGAGGATGTGTATTTTTAGACACACAAAACGGAGGAATAAATGGTTTATTTTGACAGAAGTTTTATTATTTAAAGGGGCATTCCGCTTTTTTTGTAAAATATTTTCAATATCAAAACATCGAAAATTGTACCTGAAAATATTTCTATGCTATTTATATCTATGTATCTACTTGATAAAACTGAATTTCTTTTAAAAGGGTTAATTAAAAACGGCTTGTTATGTTTACATGTAGTTAAAATCTTGAGAAAATCTAGGAGACATATTTCTAACAGTAGTTTTTTAACAGCTTGCGAAAAGCATAACAAACTTTAAAAGCTTACGCAACCTTTTACCTAAAGTTTTGGCGTTAAAAATTAACGTCTGGATTTTTTTAGTTGAAACTTTCAGATACGTATGGGAACAACCCTTTAAAGTCTCATATATTCATCCTGTCAAAGAATCATAGTTTTTTTACAACTATGATCACCATTCATCATCTTCATGATTGGTTTTCAGTCCTAAAAATTTGTCGAAATCAAGGAGAATCCTGATGGCCTCTCACAAAGGCAGTCTTGCGAGAGTCTTCCGAATGCTGTACTAAAATTTAAATACAATGCCACCTCCCTCACCCAATGAAATGCATGTCATTCAGTCAGTATTATCACTTTGGGACACTTGCCTGTAGGGAGAGTGTTTTAAAATTGTTGCCCCCTATATGAATGTTTTATATATCAGGAGGAGGAAGTTATCGCACGTCCAAAGTGGAATGTTAACCTTGCGTGAAAATGATGTAGTACTGATCAAGAATTATCATTTTTAGAGCATTCCATTTGCTAGTGCCATTCAGTGGTGATAGATTACCAGTAATATGATCAATATAACAGATATTATACTAGTAGTTATATTGCTGTCCAGATAAAGTGTGATGAATTATTTTATTGAAGAAGTGTACTTATTCCAATTACAACAAAATATTGTCGTGTGTTTATGATATGTACACCTTACTTCTAAATGTCCTTCAAGTCATATTGCACATTATTGTGGTTAAAATAAAATGACATCATCAATGGAATCAGGAGTAGAGAAAATAGTCCAGACCATATTCAATATATATGTAATATGGATATAATTAGCACATAGGCATGACTCTATTTTCTATTAGTGTAGTGGGATAACATATAAGTATGTCATACAATAATATAGTCAATATTACTACAGGTATATACTAGTTATAAATATATGCTAGATTGTTTAAATATTAATAATGATAAATAGATATAATTTCAGCTTGCTCAGCCCATCAGATTTTTACTGAATTATGTCGGCGAAGAATTTGAAGATGTTCAATATGAACAAGGAGAAGGTGAGCTGATTATTTTTTCTAATCCAGTTTTTCTGCAGATAACAAAACAACTGTGTTAAGCGATATATTTACATAGAAATTGTTGCTACTGACTCTATGCAAATCATGTGCAATATTTTGTGTTATTTCTTTATGCCCAACATAAAACAGTATTTTTTACAGTATTTACAGTAAGTGTGTGCTGATTTACTTAATACCATATGAAATATTTACATAATAGCCTGGAAGTTAATTCTGAATATTTGGATGATCATATATATATGTACTCTTGACAGAATGACATTCATTTAAAAAACAAGAGAAAATAAGACAACTAGGCCTATATCTATCTATAAAGGGAAACATGATTTTTTGGAAACTTTTCTTAAAAGTCCTGTGTCTATGCTTTCATAACTTTGTCCTAAAACATGATGAAAAAATAATTTTGGCAGAAAAATTTATTTTATAATCAAACTAAAAAGACCATTGACATAACGTAATTGAGTTTCTGTTATAACTTGCAAATAATGGATTTGTCAACTTAAAAATTAAAATAGGAAACTAAATTCCTAGTGGTATAATTGTCTGGGTCATTTATTTCAAAAAAAAGAAAAGGTTTTTTAATTTACGAAGTTTTTTTTTACCTTGATCATGGATGACCTTGACCTTTCCAAGGATGTCCAACATATACTTCCGCTTTAACAGGCGTCCGAAAACAGCAATTTTCAAAACTTTTAAGGTTCATATCTGTTTTATTTGACCTTTATTGACCTCTTGACCAGAACAAAAGTTATTATACTTGACGAGATCTATTCAAAAATATTTTCATTTTTGTTGTGCAATGTATACTTTAGCTAATTGAAAATTGACTTTTTACTACCAAATGTTTACCACCGACTATTATCAACTTCATGTGTCTTTTCACTACCGAACATTAAATGGCTTATAGACTTTTAACTATAGAATGTTAAATTGCTTTTCTTTTCCATGTAACGTTTCACCAATGTATCAGGTCGGACATATAATGGCACAAAATGAATGTGTGTTTATATATATTTTTTCTCTCGAATATTTCAGCTCCTGGATACAGTGTTGAAGAATGGACAAAAGTTAAATATACCTTAGGATTAGATTTTCCCAATGTAAGTTCTGTATTGAATTTGCTTTTTTTTAACACAATTGTTATTTATGGAAAATGGCACTATCCATTATGAATGTCTGGAAGTAGGTTTTTATATTGCCATCGCCCCTGTTCACATTTCTTGTAGAGTAGAGGCTACAGTTTTTATACGCCCACATCTCTCTATGTAGACGTATATTGTCGGCACCCCTGTCGGTCCGTCAACATTTGCTTGTAAACGCTCTAAAAACTAGATTTTTTGATGAAATCAAATGAAATACGATGTGTGTATACATATTCATAAAACGAAGATCAAGTTCGACTTTGAGCTATTTTCAACCTTTAGAAGCAGAGTTATTGCCCTTGCCCCAAAATCTTGAATATGCTATTACTCTCTTAGTTTTCAACCGATTTTGATGAAACTTAAAATGTTATTGGACCTAAATCGAAAGGTTTGAGAAAGTTTAGTTTACTTCTGATGAAATTTAAGGCTTTTTCAAGATTTAGGCCTCTTACGTCAAGTTTGAGGAGTTAACGCCCTTTAACCTCTATACAGTAAGTGCTTCTATCAACATCAATTGCTCGTAAACACTCTAAAAACTAGAGTGTTTGAAGGAATCAAATGAAATTCGGTATGTGCATACATATTCATGAAACGATGATCCGTTGGTTGGTCGGTTACATTTGCTTGTAAACACTCTAAAAACTAGATTTTTTGATGGAATTGAAATTTGGTATGTGTATACATATTCTTAAAACGAAGATCAAGTTCGAATTTGAGCTATTTTCGACCGTTAGAAGCAAAGTTATTGCCCTTGCCCCAAAATATTGAATATTTACCATTCGCATGCTGTGGTGGGCGTATATGGCTGTGGTCCACTATCTTTATCTGATCTGGACGAATCTTAGTTTGCATGTATACATTTATAAGATTTTGGTTAAGTACGAAATATTTGTAATAATTGGATGAACGATTTTAGAGTTATTGCCCTTAACTTAGTAAGAATGCATCAAATTTGGCTTGAATGTATGATAGAGACTACAGTTTTTATCTGATCTTGATGAAACTCGGTATGCATATATATATGGATGAGATCTTGGTCAAGTTCGAAATTGCTAATAATCAGGTGATCGTTTTCAGAGTTATTTCTCTGAAGTTAGTAAGAATTTGCTAAATTGGCTCTGCACGAGACTACAGTTTTTATCCCACCTTAATAAAACTTGGTATGCATGTAATAGATTGATTTCATTATTACCAAATTCAAACTTAACAGAGATCTCATCAATATATATAACTGATGGCTACAGTATGAATATTATGTGGTAGACTATGCATTTTTATATGCCCACATGGAAATGTGCACAATCAAACTAATAATAGTAGTTGAACATCTAAACCAGTCATGAAGAAGATTATGGTGATTACAGTTTGAAATAATAAGCTGGATTCTAATGACAGGATACACAGTGAGTCAAATACAAATTAAAAAACACTGTCATATATAAAACCATTTATTTTTCAACAATTCCCTCTAATACAAGAGATTCCTCACGGAGGACTAAATACAAAATGAAGAAAAAAAGATGACATCATAAAGCTAATGATCCCAATAGTCCTACATAACAACATTGAAAATCTTTTCCAAGTAACAATATTTAGAATTTACATTAAAACTTTTTGTACCGTACTTCAATACTACTTTCCCAATGTAGGACTAGTGAGATCATTACTATTGTGAATCATGGCTTGAAATAACTCCAGAAATTGGGTTGGACATTTTGTCCGGCACAATTCGATTTGTCTGACATTTGAAATTTTGTACCGGACATAAAAAAATATGGTATTTTCAATTGAAAAATCGCATTTAAAACCCATCAATTTTTGGACTGAAATTCACCGTTTTCTCACCTGCAAATAATACAGGTTAACAACTAGCTAAGAATAGTTTATGTCATTCAAACAGACCATAGGGATTATTTATATTTCTGATGACTCTCAGGGAACGATAAAGCCGTAATTGAATTAAATCGTATCTTGTTAAAAAGTTATAGGAACGTATAAAAAAGAGCCATCAGAAGTAATAACTTATTTGATTGGACAAGATAAGATATCTATTTATATCAGCCAATGAATTTCCTACTTTCATTATTTTTCTACTTTCGGATTTAAGAATACTCTCGCTAATCAACACATCTGGCGGTGTTTATTTAACATGGTGCCTGACAATTTCTTCCGGCTCAGTGTATATCTTTGTATCAAATTCTTATGTAATATTTGAAATAAAAGTATTAAAGCGTGATTAAACTTCATGATTATAATATATAGTACCATATGAAAGATCATCTCATGTATATAGAAAGTAATTATAGAGTTAATATTACTAAAAGATTCTGACAAACAACTTGACTTGAACTAATTGTGTCAACACCGTTCATTGTGTTTTGACTTGATCATCCAGACCTTGCATTTCTTCTCTAGGTGCTAGTTATCTGAATGATCGAGACTATGTTATTGTCATTTCAAACTTTTTAGCTTTCCCAGGCGAGAAATGTCAATCTGTTACACGAAAAAGAACATTTTTCAAGAACACACAACTTTGACGTCTATTGGAAATATAAACGGTCAGAATCGCGATAATTCACGATCTTTTCAACAAGAAAAACAATATTTTTTCATAGATTTGGTACCAGACAAAAATGTCCCCAAAAGAGATTGTACCAGACATTTGCCGAAATAGTACTGGACAATGTCCGTGTCCGGACGCTTATTTCAAGCCTTGTTGTGACTTCATCTTTAGTTCTTCATTTTGTATTTAGTCCACCGAGAGGAATCTCTATTGTATTAGAGGGAAATGTTAGAATATAAATGGTTTTATATATGAAATATATTTCGAAATTAATAAGTCGGATGAACTGTGTCGGAGTTACTGTCCTTGACTTAGTAAAAATGCATCAAATTTGGCTTGTAGGCATGACAGTTTTTAATCAATCTTGATGAGACTTTCAGATAAATGGTTTCAGAGTTATTTCCGTTGACTCAGTTAAAACACGTTAAATTTGACTCCATTTTAATGCGATCTTCATGAAACTTTGTATGAGTATATATTGATCAGATCTCAGTCAATTTTGAAATTTGTATTAGTCCGATGAAGGGCTTCGAAATTATTGCCCTTGACTTAGTCAAATCTAGTAAAATTTGGCAAATTTAGGACGATATAGACTACAGCTTTTATCCGATCTTGATGAAACTTGCTATGCATGTATATATTGATGAGATCTTGGTTGAGTTCGAAATTGGTAATAATCGGATGAAGGGTTTTAGCTATGGGCTTAATGCTGCTGTGTGTTCCCCTATGAGACCTTGATGATCAGCTGTTGAATATATTAGCTCTATCAGCTGATAGATCTTAATTTCAGCTCTATGTATCACTTTCAGTATAATATAAAGATTCTAGGTTGGTTTCACCTCTGATAAAATTTTACTGAAAGTTTGGACTATGTAGTCAATTCAATGTAGTTATTAATATTCTGTAATGTAATAATGATATGAAGTTGACAATACTAACTTCATTTGTGATTGTGATTAACACTGTGGAATGAAATATTTCTATAACCCCTTGAAAATGTAGATAAATATGAAGGTATATAGATCATTTATTATTTGTAGTTGCCGTATTATATTGATGGAAATGTCAGTATGACACAGAGTAACACTATATTAAGATATATTGGTGGTAAACATGATTTATGTAAGTAATCACTTCTGTCTAATCAGTTAAATGAAAACATAGTCATACAGCACTTAAAATTATGAATATAAAATTGATTTAATGCTGACATGAAACAGCAGTGTCACGATATATGAGCATTATGAAACTATGTGTTGCACTTACATAAAAATAATAGACATGAACTTGGAAAACTATGTTTTCAGATAATTTTTAATATTTTTTTTATTTTTTCTCCATGGTCTTATCCCAGACCATATTGTGATTAGGCAGTTCCAAATTTACTATTTTATTATATGCCCACATTATAATGGAATCACCACATAATAATGTGCTTGTGTATTGTCGTTGCCCCTGTCTGTCCGTCCGTCAGTCCATCGGTCCGCAATTGCTTGTGAAGGCAAAAGAGACAACAGTTTTTATCTGATTTTGATGAAATTTGGTGTGATCATTTATATTGATGAGATCTTGAACAAGTTTGAATTTGGATATCTTTTGATGAACGGTTTTGGAGTTATTGCCCTTGATTTAGAAAAAACTCATCAAAATAGAGACTACTGTTGTCATTCAATGTAAATGAAATTTTGTGTGATCACTTATAGTGATGAGATCTTAGACAAGTTCGAATTTGACGATCTTTTGATGAACTATTTTGGGTTATTGCCCTTGATTTGGGAAAAACACATCTAAATTTGTTTGTGAACACAAAAGAGACTACAGTTTTCATCCAATTTAAATGAAAGTTGATGTGATCATTTATAATGAAGAGATCCTAGTCAAGATTTAATTTTACAATTTTTCGATCAACTGAATTTGAGTTACTGCCCTTCACTTGGTTAAAAACGCATCAAAATTTGTTTGCTTGTTAACACAATAGAGGTGACAGTTTATGTCAGAATTTTATTAAATAATGTGTGTTTGATTAAATCAACAATATCTTGCACAAATTAGATTTTTGGTATGAAGTGACTTCCCTTGATATACTGAAAATATATCAGGAAAGTATAATTACATCCAGACACAGAAGATATTGAAAGAATTTATATTCATCAATGAAAATGTGGCAAAAGATAGCCGATTGTAAAAACATTACTAGTAATTGCACATGACTATTTTCTAAACACATGATTGGCGGTGATTGATCAACAGAATTGATGTTAGCGATCTTTTGTTTTTATGTCAATTTATGTTGGATTATCAATAATCTAATTGGTAATAAGTGATTTAGATGACTATGTGTTAGATTATACCGATTTTTCTGCCTGTTAAGTGCCTTGATAAGTCTCATAATAGACAGAATGTCATAGTCTTCAAAGTATTTTAAACTGAAGTAAGAAGGAAATCAACCAAGACCACAAAAAAGTTTTTTGATTGTGCAGAATATCTGAAATTACAGAGTATTTGAAATTTTCGTAAAACTCATCAGTGCGTCAGGGAATAGTCTGATTTGTGTCATTGTAGTGTCCATGGAAACTGCAATTGATTTCAAACAAAATGTTGAGAGCTAATTTTTGAAGTTGAATTTAGTTTTTAGTTGAGACTTTCAGATAGATGTCTTTATTTTCTAGTGGGTAAAACAGTCAAAGAAAAGGTAGCATGTGATATGATGACTGAAAATGCCATGGATTTTAGAAATGGAGTAGTTAGACTGGTCTATAATCCTGATTATGTAAGTGGAATGTATACAGTATTTTGTTTTAATACACCCATTTGAAATATATTACTGTTATCTATAACCACAGAACAGTGTACAAAATAACTTGAGAACACTATATTGGGTGATCTGTAAAAAACGATTATACTTTGTGTTTCAAGATAATTCGCATAGTATTAAAGCTTGAACCATAATGAATTCAGCTCAATAATAGAGATACAGATGAGCTTCATACGTTAAAGTACTTTAAAATAGCAACATTTAAAAAATTCCCTGTCAGAAAATATAATGCTGAAAGTAATTATTGTAATATTTGTTAAGATTTAGAATTGAACAAATGGTCAATGGGACCCCCATTTTTGGACAAACCTAATATACTTATTGCTTTTTCTAATGACAAAATTGTTGTCCAAACTTTTTCATGAGGTATTACATTCCCTTGTTCTAAAATTCAGTCTAGAGTCCCACACACTTTAATCATTGAATTCCAATCAAGAATTAGGTGGTCATTCATCTTATTTAAAAAATCTACATTATGGCATTGAAATTTTTGACAAGGAATTTTAAAACTGGTAGCATTTAACAGTCTGTGAAACTGAAATTTGGTGCAAAAGATGTCATTTAATTATGTAATCAAATTATCTTGGCTTTAATACTCTATGAATAATCCTAGAATAAAAACCTGATATAAGCCACAAAAAAGAAGGATTTTGACACATTTCATGGAAAGTGTTCATCATTTGTAACCATTCATCTATTTAACTTTTATTTGAAACAATTCCTTGATATAATATTGTCTTATGTCTGTATGTTTGTATTTTAACATGTTTTTAATGATAAATGTTATTGGAGATCATTAAACTGATTGCCAGTGTTTCTAATTATTGTTCAGACCTACATATAGAAAGCAGATTGCTCAAGAATATTAACTAATGTCTTTTCATTTATTTGATTTGTAGAAAAAGTTAGTTGGAGATTATTTTAAAAATTTACCTGATACTCTTACCAAATTTGAAAATTATCTTGGAAGTAAACCCTGGTTTGCTGGTGATAAGGTAAGTCACAAAAGATATCAATCAGCAGTGTGCACTCTCTGAAGGAATTCTGAGTTGATAAACCTACCATATGTCTTCAAGCAATACTAGTGGTCTTAATAGTATGATCTACCTATATTTGACTGTGGTCAGCAAGTGAGGACTATCCTCGGTTTTCCCTCCAAGAAATAAGCTAATATTGTTTTTGGTACCCAGTATCAGTATTTGGTAATATATATCATGTGAGACACGTGGATATGTTTTAATTGTAATATTCTCATATTTTATTTCTTACCTTCTAAGACTTCTGTATGGTTTCAATTTGTGTTATTTTGAAACAGTAGAATTTATTGGTACCATGAAATAGACAAATAGTTAAGAGTCAAACATCATTGTGTAGTTCTTTTTCTTGGAGTCATTTCAGACAATGTAATGATACTCTGAATGGTGATTATAGAAGTTCTTAAGCTCTTTAATTTGTGAAATCTCTTTTCAACTACTTCATTTGAACAAGACTTGCATTGTAAAATTTTATTACTCTTTTTATTTTAGATAACTATTTGTGACTTTCCAATGTACGAGTTATTAGATCAACAAAGAATCATGTCACCTGGCTGTTTGGATAAATTCCCCAAACTTTGTTCTTTTCTGAATCGCTTTGAAGCAGAACCAAAGAATAAGGCCTATATGTCGGGACCTAACTTTATCAAGAGACCTATCAATAATAAATCTGCAGGATTCAGATAGATTTCTTCAGGACAAAAACACCAGAATATTGAAATGTAACTTTGATCTATAAATTAAATTGATCTTAATATGTATTTTGTATACGCCCATGTTAAATATATGTATATGGGTCTCACCCATGACTGTCCGTCCGTCAGTCCACACTCTTGACCACAATTCTTGACAGATTTTGACGAAACTTTGTGTAAGTGTTGATTATCACCCATGGATGAAACCTATTGAAAATCAGAAAAAGTGAGTTATTGCCCTTGTTTTTTAAAACTCATTTAATTTCTAACTGGTAAACACTTTAGAAGGCACAATTCTTGACAGATTTTGACAAACTTGTGAAACCTACTGAGAATGAAACAAGCAAATAATATTTCAAATGAGTTATCGCAGTGTGTTCTTCGAACGCACTGCATTGTTTTCGAAATGACTATTTTTTTTTTTTTTTTTGTTGTCTACTTCTGGTCACGCTCCCCAGCCAAAACTGCACATACCACAGATTATCTGACATCATTATCTCTTATACTTAGCGTGTCGCTATTGTTTAAATGTAAAATGACGCATCTTCGCCCAACCGGAAATGACGTAGGACTTTAACCGTTCATTACGTCTTTCCAATACCTGCCATTATTCTGAATCTATTTTGAACATAATTTTTGTTTTGTTCATTACTTTGAACTAATATCTAAAAGATAGCAATTTAAGAAATTTCAAATTTTGACTTTTGTCGCTGACTTTTGGAGATTTTATTTAAAGTTTTTTTTAAACTTCCACAATTTTATTGCGATCGATCTGAAAATTTTCATGTAGATAAACATTTTGATTGTGAACAAAAATATGCTTTCAAAATTTAGATATCACTTCCGGTTTTGACGTCATTCGCCTCCAAACTTCAAATTTCAACTTCCGGAATTTTGTAGATATTTGAAAAATTCTTTTTGCAATTAGTTATAATTGTCCCCGTAAAGATTTTGGAATCAAAAAATTTGAGCCGGAAGTATTGTGTAAGACGCCATCTTGATAAGCCCCATTTTGAGTTTTATAAAAATGAGTCATCAGGGTAAAATTGGATGTGCGTAAATTTGATGTTTATGTAAACTACAATCGATTGCTAACAAAACATGGGAAGCCGATTTTTGAATTTTGGCTTTGTATTTTTTTTATTTCCGGTTTTATGTTTTCAGTAATTGTCAAAACTATTAAGGCTCATATCTAGTGACTTTGACCTTTGGTGACCTTGTGACCTGAACAAAAGTTGTTGCCTCTTACGAGATCTATCCGATTATATCTACACTTTTGTTGGTCATCGTTAACTTCCGGTCCTACAGCCATTGGAAAATCGCGATTTTTAACTTTGAAGAGCTCTGTCACGTGACCTAATTAACATACGACATATTCTTTGAGTGCATGAAATCTCCTATTTGGTGATATATCACACTTGATATTTTGATCAAAATTGTGCGTTTTAAAAATTGAAAATTTTGTACCGACTTCTATAGTAACTGTGCGTAAAATCACGGTGTCTATAATTTACCGACAGTCACCGTTGCCCTAAAAAAAAGTTTAACTACGAATATCTCATGATCTAATGATTGTAAAGACTTGGAATTTTGAACATTATTTAACAGTGTAGACATCATCACAGACAAATTAAAATTTTTGAAGTGGGCATGGCACATCCGGTGTGCATTTACCTTTACCTTAAATATTTGCAATTGTTATAACTCTCATAGTTTTCAATTGTCACCCTAGAAATTTTGCATCAAAATAGATCACTGCTTAGGACAATTTGTGATAAGATTACAGTTGTTTGCATTCTTTACTTTAAAAAAGGGAACAGGTTTAACAATTTTATAAATTTTCATTTTTGATCTTTAGCATGAATGACCTTGACCTTTGCATGGTCAAAGGTCATTGACTAAGGATGACCATTCTTACTTTGATCTTTGATGTCCGATATATACTTCCGGTTTTGCAGACGTCCAAAACAGCAATTTTCGAAACTTCAAAGGCTCATATTACTTTTATTTGACATTTGTTGACCTTTTGACCTGAACAAAAGTTGTTGCCCCTTACTAGATATATCCGATAATATCTTCACTTTTGTTGTGCATTGTTAACTTCCGGTTCTACAGAAATTTGAAAATCGCGATTTTTAACTTTGAAGAGCTCTGTCACGTGACCTAATTAACATATAACAAAATTTCTTATATATTCTTAGAGTGCATGATCTCTCCTTTTTGGCGATATATCACACTTGATATTTTGATCAAAATTGTGCGTTTTAAAAATTGAAAATTTTGTACTGACTTCTATAGTAACTGTGCGTAAAATCACGGTGTCTATAATTTACCGACAGTCACCGTTGCCCTAAAAAAGTTTAACTACGAATATCTCATGATCTAATGATTGTAAAGACTTGAAATTTTGAACATTATTTAACAATGTAGACATCATCACAGACAAATTAAAATTTTTGAAGTGGGCGTGGCACATCCTGTGTGCATTTACCTTTACCTGAAATTTTTGCAATTGTCATAACTCGCAAAGTTTGTAATTGTCATCCTAGAAATTTTGAATGAAAATAAATCACTGCTTAGGACAATTTGTGATAAGATTACAGTTGTTTGCGTTCTTTACTTTAAAAAAGGGAACAGGTTTAACAATTTTAAAAATTTTTATTTTTGAACTTTAACGTAAATGACCTTGACTTTTGCAATGTCAAAGGACATTGATTTACGATGAGCATTCTTACTTTGATTTTTGATGTGCAACATATACTTCCGGTTTTACAGACGTCCGAAAACAGCAATTTTCGAAACTTCAAAGGCTCATATTACGTTTATTTAACCTTTGTTGACCTTTTGACCTGAACAAAGGTTGTTGCCCATTACGAGATATATCCGATAATATTTTCACTTTTGTCGTGCTCCGTTAACTTCCGGTTCTACAGCCAATTGAAAATCGCGATTTTTAACTTTAAAAAAAGGTCTATCACGTGACCTAATTTATATAAGCGAAAATTTATCTTTAGTCCTTATTACACGCAATCTATTCTTTGAAATGATATATAACACTTGGTATTTTGATTAAAATTGAAAATTTTGTACTGACTTCTATAGTAACTTTGCGTAATTTTAACGGTTTCTATAATCCACCGACAGTCACCGTTGTCTTAAAAAAAACTTTTAACTACGAATATCTCATGATCTAATAATTGTAAACACTTGAAATTTTGAACATTATTTGACATTGTACACATTATTACAGACAACACAAAATTTTTGCAGTGGGCGTGGCAAATTACTTTTACCTTTACCATAAATAATTCAAATTGTTATAACTCGAAAAGTTTGCATTTTTCACCATCGAAATTTTACAAAAATTAAAGCACTATTTGGGACAATATTTTTGTTTAGGCCTTTTACTTTAAAAAAGGGAATAGGATTTACAATTTATAAAATTTTGATATTTTGACCATTTACATGCATAATCTTGGTCTTTAGAAGGTCAAAGGTTATTGATCTACGATATCCATTCATACTTTTATCTTTGATGTCCGACATATATTTTCGCTTTTACAAACGTCTCAAAACAGCAATTTTCAACACTTTTAAGGCTTATATTCTCTTTTATTTGACCTCTGTTGACCTCTTGGCCGAAACACAAATTATTGTACCTTTCCAAAAATATTTTCATTTTTGTTGTGCGAATTGAACTTTTAACTTTACAGCTATTTGAAAATTCGACTTTTTACTACCGAATGTTAGCACCTTTTAGTACCGAATGGTATCAAATTCATGCGTCTTTTCACTACCGAACGGTAAACGGTTTAAACGATTTTTTCTACTATTGAACGTTTACATGCTTTTCTTTCCGGTAAGAAATCCCATTGTGACTTTAAAATGCAACGTTTTATCGATGTATCAGGTTGGATGTGCACTGCTTCGGTACCGTTATAACGGTTCTAGTTTCCTTTGTTTTTAACAAAACTTTTTAACATTGATCATTATCACCCAAAAAGGTTTGAAGAATCAAAGCTGCCATTGGGCTGTCTGGAAAGCTATCTTATCAGTCGATTGAAATTAGTTTTACCTATCCATAGTACTTCTCAATGTTATGATAACCGATGTAATGACCTCAAAGCACAGCAGACATTGAAAAGCTCTGTTAGATATAAGTGGCTTGGACTGAACAGTTTTATAAAGACTTGGGTAGGCTAACTAGCCGAGTAATATGTACCCAAATTTCGAATCAAAAGTAGAATTTAACCTCCTCACACTTTCTTGTCCTTTTACGGACATGCAAGAATGCTGATAAGGCCACAGAAGTACGAACAACGGCCCGACTATCATAGAAACTGGTTGAACCAAGTCTACGTCAAGTAGACGTCCAGAACGTGTGACTATATTGTTTCTCATATTATTTCGATCATGAACAGCAGGTTGTAGAACTGGTATATTGACTTCTGGTTGATTATCTACGACATCAGGTTGTACAGTATCTTGTTGATCAGGAAGATTATGTTGTACATTGGCTTCTGCGTTGTTTTCAGTAGCTTCATCCGGAGGATAAGGAACAAATAAATCAGATTGTTCAGCAGCTTGACGTAGGAATTTACGATTGCGTCTGAAAGTACCTTCATCAGTTCTAATCAGATAACAGCGTTTAATGAGTCTACGTATTACCTCCCCTTTTTTCCAAATTTTATCACCAAGTTTAAAACGTTTAATACGTACAACGTCTCCAGCTTTCAGTAAAGGTAAATCTTTCGCTGAGCGATTATAATAGGCAGATTGTTTATCCTTCTGACGTTGAAGTTCAGCACGATCCAGTTTAGGATTAATATTACGAGGTTCAAGGAGTGATGACTTGACAGGCAACAAATAGCGAGTACGTCGATTCATTAACCGTTGTGCTGGACTTGTTGTCAATCCTTGAGTAGGCGTATTTCGGAAATCTAATAACGCTATATAATCATCAGCATGAGTGTCTTTAGCTTTACGTAATAGGCGTTTCGCAGTTTTGACCGAACTTTCGGCTTGTCCGTTAGACTGACTGTTATACGGACTACTAGTAATATGTTCAAAGTCCCAGATTTCAGCAAAATGATGAAATTCGAATGACGAAAACTGAGGTCCATTATCAGAAATTAGTTGGCAAGGGATACCATACCTAGCAAAATGAGATTTCAGTTTATTAACAACACTTCCAGTTTTCGTATCATAAAGGCGATCAACCTCAAAGAAGTTACTATAGTAATCAGTAGTCACTAAGTATTGTTTATTATCCAGTTCGAATAGATCAACACCAACTTTTTGCCACGGACGCTTTGGTACCTCATGACTAATCAAAGTTTCCCTTTGGTTTGATGTTTCGTAGTTGTGACAGGTTTCACAGGCAGATACAAGTTGTTTGATATCAGATGACATACCAGGCCAAAACATACATTCACGAGCTCTTCTTAAACATCCTTCTACACCAATATGTGCAGCGTGTGAATGTTTCTTAAATTCAGCGCGTAATGATATAGGTATGAGCACACAGTTACCTTTAAAAATAATACCATTCTCTATAGTAAGTTCGTCACTAAAACTAAAATACGGAGTTAGTTCTTTAGGCAAATGAATTTTAGTAGCAGGCCATCCGTTTTGGATTACAGTATACAACAATTGCAAAACCGGATCATCTCTTGTAGCTTTAATGATTTTATCAAGTCTTTCAGGCCTCATTGGTAAACATTCAAACATATTCACAGACTCAAAAGCACCTTGATTACAATCCGTTACATTTAAATATGCACGAGACAACATATCAGCGATATGCATTTCAGTTCCTTTCAGATATGTAACATTAATATTGTATGCAGCAGCACGCAACAACATTCCTTGCAGACGACGAGGAACTTGCGACATAGGCTGTTTCATAATCGACTCTAGAGGTTTATGATCAGATATCACATGAGTAAGTCGACCAAATGTATATTGATGGAATTTTTCAAGAGAATACACAATGGCAAGCATTTCCTTTTCGATTTGAGCATATCGAACTTCAGTTTCAGTTAGAGAGCGACTTGCATACGCTATAGGTTTTCCACTTTGTAACAGTACACTACCTAGACCATGTAGACTTGCGTCACACTGTATAACCAGTTTATCAGATGGGTTATAATAAGATAATATGGGAGCAGTTGTAACCATATGTTTAAGTTTTTCATAAGCTCGATCTTGTTCAGAAGACCAATTCCAGGCGGTGTCAATGTGAATCAGTTTACGTATAGGTTCTATTACCTCAGATAATTTTGGTAAGAATTTGGACAGATAGTTTATAAAACCACAGTAACCTCTAACTTCTTCTACAGTTTTAGGTTTCGGCATATCAGTCACAGCTTTCACCTTTTCAGGATCTATTTTCAGTCCATCAGACGAAATAACATGTCCGAGAAAGATTATTTCATGTTTCCGTAGTTCACATTTGTCTTTATTTAGCTGAATATGAAGATTTCTACATCTTTCTAGTAAGCATCGTAATTTCTCATCGTGATCAGCACGAGCAGATTCATACGTAGTACCTTGACCATAAACAATAATAACGTCAGCAATATTCAGCACACCATTTAGACCAGATAAAGCAGTACTCAAACGTTTCTGAAATATCTCAGAGCTAACGTTTGTTCCGAATGGTAACCTCAACCATCTATAACATCCAAATTGAGTTTGAAACGTTGTCAGCAGACTAGACTCTTTATCTAAAATACAGTGCCAGTAACCATTAGACAGATCTAGTTTTGAGAAGACTCTCTTTAGCTTCTCATCAGGTTTGTCACCAGCAGATAATTCAGGTAAGATATCGTCGAGTACAAGAAGTTGACATCTTTCTCTCAGTAGAGCTTGATTCAGTGGACGGGGGTCTAAACATACCCTAAGACTGCCTGATTTCTTAGTCGCAACCAGCATCTTACTGTTCCATTGAGTTGGTGATTCTTGGACTGCTAGTACACCAGTTTCTACTAGTTCATCCAGTTTTTCTTTTACTTCAGTTTGCAGAGCTAAGGGTAGTCGGTTCGGTGGTAAGATAACAGGTCTTACACTTTCATCAATTTTGAAGTGAACTTTTCCAGGCAAAGTACCAATTCGATTTTCAAATACATCAGAATATTCAATAAAGGGGTCTATCAATTCATCAGACTTTACAGCAGATACAGGACTAAATTGATCATAGTTGACTGTAATTAGACCCAGTTTTTCAGAAGTTTCTTTACCAAGTAAAGGAGTCAGATTCTCATTCACTACAATGAATGTTACCAAGTACTTTTCGTTAGTTTTTAAGTTAAACAAAGGTACACAGCATTGACCAATAGGTTTGAGTTCAGTACCATTCCACATTCTGAGAATCGTAGAACATTTATCAAATAGGGAAACCAGTAACATGTTTCTTTGGTATAATATTTACAGATGATCCACTGTCACACTGAAATTTAACAGTTCTATTTTTACCAATCCTCGTGTTTAGCAGAATTTGATTACTCTTGATAGTGTTAACGTTTACAGTAAACAAGACAGAGTAAACAGCAGAAACACCGTGAGATTTTGAAGGACATTTAACAGAGAAATGATTCAGCTTATCATATTTCTTACACTTTTGTCCCCAAGCAGGACAGGATTCCTTTTTCATGACATGAGTTTTACCACAAAATTTGCAGTGAAGTTCTTTCTTTGTATGTCTGGGTTGAGATGCATATATCTCAGTTTGTTTTGGTGGAAAAGTTTTAGGTTTGCATTTTGGCACTTTTGATCCTCGATACACTTTGTTGACCTCTGATGACGTTGTGTCAGAAATCCTTTTCATCTTTTGAGTAGACGATTCTCGACTTCGACAAATATCAGTACATTTTGTAAGTGTCAGTTTATTTTGTTGGAGTAAGCGCTTTCTTGTGTCCTTTGATTGCACACCAAATACGATTCTGTCTTTCAGTAGACTGTCTCACATACACTGGCAGAAATTACAAGTTTTCATCAAGCCTCTTAATGCAGCTAAATATTTATCGAATGTTTCACCCTGTTCTTGACTTCGTGAGTTAAACACATAACGTTCATAGGTTTCATTGACCATGCCTATATGTTCATCAAATTTGCGTTGAATAATCTCCAGGCTATTTTGATCTTCAGTAGGCAGATATACAAACGAATTATAAATTAACTGAGCTTCACGGCCTAAATTATGAAGAAATAAAGCTTTCCTATATTCTTCAGTTCTTAATTCTAGTCCAGCGATAACTTTATAGTTAGACCAGGCTTGTTTATACAGTTTCCAGTTTTCTACTGGGCTATCACCCAAGATTAGTTGAGCAGGTGGAGATACATTAATAACAGGACAACGTTGATCAGCAACATTATTATTATTTCCTCCTTCAACAGGTTGTTGATTTGCTCCAGGATTATCAGGTTTGAAACCCATTACTTCAGATAAGTAATTGACAGTTACTTGTTGACAGTATCAGACTTCAAAGCAGGTACGTCAGAGCGTGAAATGTGGCTTAGAAATACACTCTTGCGGACAGAAAACAGATCAGTTCAGGAAATACAAGCCACCATGTTAAATTATGATTTTGGGCGGGTTGGAGCAGCGTACGAGCGGATAGAGACGCAGAGTAAAATAATCATAAACTTTAATGATGAGCCATGTTTAAGATAAGCACAGACGATTGGACAATATAAACTACATAATCTGATGCTCGTCACCGGCGATGCACCACAATATTGTCAACAGGCTTATTAGGTCAATATTGTTACAGTACCCAAACAAGGTCAATATCATGTTCGTGTGATCATTTATATTGAGACTTTGTTCAAGTTCATCTTTCGATGAACGGTTTTTGAGTTACTGTCCTTGACTTAAAAAAACGCGTCAAAATTTGTTTGTAAACACAATAGAGACCACAGTTTTCAACTGATTTTAATGAAATTTGGTATGATCATTTGTTTTTATGTGATTTTGGACTTGACGACTTGAATTGAAGTTTGAATTTGATGATTTTGCGATATACGATTTTTGAGTTAATGTCCTTGACTTAGGAAAAACGCGTCAAAATTTTTTTATGAGCACAGTAGAGACTACGTTTTTTTTGTCTGATTTTAATGAAAGTGGTGTGATCATTTATATTGATGAGATTTGGACAAGTTCGAATTTGAAGATTTTTCGATGAACTGTTATTGAGTTATTGCCCTTTACTTAGGAAAAACGCATCAAAATTTGTAGTGAACACAATAGAGACAACAGTTTTTATCTGATTTTGACTCGATAAATGTTTATTTTAATAATATCTATCCTTGATTTGAGAAAAACGCTTAAAAATTTGTGTGTGAAAATAGTCGAGTCAGAGAGTGCAGGTCTGGTCAAATTTAAAGGAATTTGGTGTGATCATTTAAATTGATGAGATCTTGGGTTATTGAAGATCTTTAAAAGGATACTGCCTCTTATATGACGGAAGTCCTGTATAATTCGATCAATCTATAAATTAATAAGGTTATTATTGAATGAGTTTGAAGCATGTTCAAATCGTCTGGCCACTTGAGGCATTTTTAGGTTGTTAATCTGATTCGATTATCATAATCACAAAACAAATAATTAGAGAGTTTGTTCAAATTCAAAATTTAGTTCTATTGTCACTCCTTATAAAATAAATAAGTAAACACAAATTCTAGCTGTAGGAGTGTATTCTAAGAGGTAGAATTCCTTTAAAATGAGAAAATTCATTCAAAGATTCGATTATCATTTTTGACAGCTGTCAGGTATGTTACCTTGCCTGGCAAGCTATCTTTAATAAAAATGAGGCAATATGTCAGCTATTATTTCCCGTATACATGAAAATTTCTCAGACTTTTACTGTAGAGGGAAGCATAGTCTTTAATCCCCCAACAGCCTTCGACTACTCCGACAGTCCAACAGATCATCGACCGGCATAAAATTGACTTTGAGAAGAGCATACGTTATAAAAAAAATTCCCATGGGAAGGGTCCTAACCAACTTCCCACTAAACTTAAAATCTAGGTGCATGTATTAAAAAACATAAATGTATAAAGTATTACTTGTGAACGCTATAGAGACTGATTAGAGCGATGATCAGAATTTAAACATGATGTGATATTCCTTATCTCGATTATCATGAATGGGATGAGATGAAAGTGTTTAGAAAATTGACTTGTGGAAGCAATACAGAGATTTGATATGAATTCAATGATATTTAATAAACTACTGAGTTATTCGAAGCCTGAATTGACAATAGACTAACTAATTAAATCTTATTTATTATCATTAGAAAAAGATACCAACATTTAATGTTAGGGATATCAAAATAACAAAATAACAAAACATGATTTCACAACTTTTAAAAATGTACTTCTACGGGTTAAAACGCTTTCGAAGAAGTCTTAATATAAACGAAACTATAGGAATCTCATCATTATCATTGGCAGTCCCAACCTCAATTTCTAAATAAAATCTAAACATAAAGTGATACATTTTCTGAAATTTCAATCTGCACTTACTAAAACATGAAACGACCAGGAAATGACAAAAACGACCAGAAATGAAATGAATGGAGTCCAACTTTTCTAGGAAACGACAAAAGAAAACGTGAAACGACTAGGAAATAAGCATGAAAACGATAGGAAACGACCTCAAACTATTTTTCGATAAATTCTGAGCAAGCTAATTAGTTAATTAGGCCATACGTAAGTAATTAATTTTTAACAAAAATGTATTTGGGAAAACTGCTCTTACAGGGGAACAGTCGGAATTTTCGGGGATTGATTTGGGTCTTTATTGTGCTCTATTAGTCTTAAGAAGTACTAAAACGCACGAAAATTGCATAATCCCTTCAAATATTCCTCAAACTCGAACTTTCACTGTCTATTTCTATATATGTGTTTTCTGTATATAACAGTCTCACTAAAATTCGAGTCGAATTTTTAACCAAACGTGAATAATTATGGATACACATGGATTCGTTTTCCGTTTTCGTTGGTCGTTTCTTGTCTTCTCCTTGTCGTTTCATGTTTTAGTAAGTTCGCCTTCGATAACACATTCATCGGAACATTTCTTGAGATACGCGGAGACGATAATCATTGATCAGAATACTGTACCTTGCCTTCCATTATTGCTGATCAAAAGTGTGTTTTTCTTACATTGTCAGCTTAATGAAGTGTTGAATAAAATGGTCAATATGAGAAACTACAAATACATCTTCAAAAACTCCATTTCGGTGAAAATGAAGGCGAAAAGAGATATTCAGAGATTATAGAGCGCAAGTGTAATTCGCTAAAATGTAATTAAATTGCATCTTAATAGCATTACATAACATTCATTGCATCCATTTGCATAATTATTGAAACCTTGCAGCAGTTCTAAAAACATTCACACGCCAGTGACGCGACATTTTACAAATACAAACAGACCCAAATTTTAAAATAAATGAACATTCAATTCAAACTTCTCCACTAGAAAAAAACAATGTAACGTTATTATCCATGTTGGTTCGTTAAAGTGGTGCTCAGTTAACGAAAGCATCCACAGAATGGCATCAGGTATTACGGACATCCTAATTAAAAAAAGAGCCCGTAATGCACTTTCATAATTCTTCCACCCCAGTGATGGCAATTTTCGATAAGGTATTTACTGAACCTAAAGCGAATTGCAATTGGCTGTAGTGTGTAAGTAATTTCGCATATCACCAAGAATGTGCTAACGAAAGAGCCAAAATATTTTTCATGAAGCGTAAAAAGCAGATTGATCAGTTGTCAAGTTAACACGTGATGATAACTGACATTCGCCAATCAAATTACAGGCCATGATAATAAATTCATATTCAGTATTAGGAGCCAGCCCAAATGCGCGATGTTCTTGACGTCCATAAAGACAAACACTTCGCCAGATGCGATTCTGTGCAAGAGGTCTATATAATAGATAATGAGCAATATTCTGTTCACGAGCCACATCAAGAGGACTGGAACTGAAGATCTGAATGGATGAAGTGAAAGTCTTGCACAAATTCTCTAATATAACTGGCACTGAAACGAGATAAAAATCAATGAAACAATAGATAGATATATATGTAATTTGTCCAGAAAAATACTCGCGCACAGCAGTTCACCAACGTGGAATATTTTTCACTATGACTTCTAACAAGTTTAATAGGTCAAATAAAGATATAGTATATTCTTACTGGGAACAGTACACTGTGATGGGCTCAGCGTCAGGCATTGAATTACTTCTGATTCCGAACTTTTGCCAGCACTATTTGAAGAACTAACACAGACATAATAACTAGTATCACAGGATAAATTCTCAAACAATAAAACCAGTGAACAGGCACCATTGGGCATATTTTTAGCAATCGGTCTTTCTTCATGGCAATTCCTCAACTTAAGAATGTCCTACAATAGATGATAATTTGGATTGTAGTAACCTGTTGTAAATACAAGTTCTTCCACGACAAGATAATCGCGTTGCCGACAGGATTCATTTTCTTTTCAATTGCATGATCCGCATGTGACTGCCGATATAGAGGAAAACGACCCAAGAAGATTTCTTTGTCTTGTCTTGTTCCTGCAGCCGGTCAGTGAAGACTCTAGTCGGCGACAAAAGTCGGCGACCAAGAGTGTTAGTGTGCCCGCACAGTTTATGTTGATCATCATGCTACGGTAATCGACGTCAATATGGCCCTTTAATGCAACCATTTAGGTAACAACACTCCAATCTGATCAGTAGCGAAATCTTACAGGATCTTATCAACCACTTGTTAATTCGCAGTTGTCATCATTTGCGCTTCTTTTGAAAATTCGATCTTGTTGACCATTTCCGTTATAACCGTGTCATTTCGATGAGATACTTTGCTAGTCGACCAAAGCATGTCTTCAGATGCATTATACATAAAACAAAACTTAATGTAGTATATCTTATTCCATCAACGATTGCGTGGCATTACTTCAACCACTTATACATATGAATGTCAATACTTTACTCTTTCAAAGGGGAAATTCAACATTAGAAATAAAAATTTGAGTGTAGACCCCTGGCTTTAACATAGATATAGTATGTATTGTATTTCATACGCCAGTAAAAAATATCAAATGAGACGAAACTATACCTCAATACCCATACTTTTCTGTTCTTCTGTACAATAACGAGCTTCAAAATAATCGATGACATCATGAGGGTTGCTATGTGGTAATATAGTCAAAGCTACAGTATTCTCACTTCTACAACATTGATTCACTTCAATAACAGGAGTGGCTGGCACTGGAAATAACATATATATACATTACAGACTAGACTATACTAATTTTCATTTATTTGTATTTATCTTGATTATCAAGCTTCAATGCTTCAATTACCAAAGGTTTGGCTATTTAACGCGTTTTCAAGAACAGGGGCAGTAACTCATACTAAATAATTCT